AGCAATTAATAAATTAAAAATCTTTAAAAAAAAATTAAAAAAATTTGTTAATATAAAATAGACCTTTGTATATAAATATACATTATTTATTAGTTAGCTTAAATGTATATTTGTTAATGCAAAATATTATATTTAATTTGTGACTTTAAAATTAGAATTAAATTTTATTAAAAATTATTATAAATTTTAAATAAAAATTCAGAATTAATTACAAATTTTAATGTTGAACAAATCTTAAAAGAAGCATATTTTTTTTAAATCTTAAATCTTTGGTTAAAGTTTTAGTTTCTATTTGAGTAATAATTACAAATTCAGAAGCTTGATCAATAACTTTAATTAATTGTTTATACAGTCCGTTTTGTTAGCAGCTTCTATTAAAAGAATTTTAAGTTTTGAGCTAATGTATTTAAAAATTATTGAAAAAATTTTAATAATAATATTTACATATTAGCTTATTTTCTTTATCTCCAATATTATAATATATAATTGTATAAAATTTATAATTATATTGTAGTAATTTAAAAAATACAATAATAAATATTACATTTAACTTCAAAATTATACAACTTTTATAGCATCTAGACATTTTAATTTTAACAAATTCTAATATCTTGTGGCCTAACATAATTTATAATAGTTATCAACTATAAGAACTTATACTTATTCAGCATCTCAAATATAATTTTTTTAAAAAATAACTTTGAAAAAATAGCATACTCTATCAAGAATAACTATGTATTGCAGATAATAGCACTTTATTTAAATAATATCACCTTTTATTAAGACTTTATTATCTAATTAAAAGAAGACAGCCTCTTTGATTTACTTATCTAAAATATACAATTTTGTTTAACAGACTATACTGTCTAATTTTCTCTTATTTTAAATCATCTGAAGTTAATATCTTTGTATACAATGTCTTACCAATTAAGAATAAAACTCAAATTATAGTTACTTATATATAATATCAATAAAGAAAAAATTATTATTGGCAAAATTTACAAATATCTTCTAAATACAAATTAGTTCTCTATTTTATACTAGAATATCATTATTAATTTAGAACATAGTCATTATTATTCTCTTTCAGATTTGAATTGTATACTATATATTAAGTGCTATCTCAACTTAAACAGAATTAATCAAATATGTACAATTAATATATTAGCAACTATTTGTATCAGTTTTCTAGAAAGAAAAACCTTTAAACTCAAACTTAATTCTAACTATCTGGATCTTATTAACTTAATAGCAATTAAATAGCCTTCATAAATTTTATATAACTACTCAACTATTAATATATTAAACTCAACTATCTCAAAAATCTTTAAAGCTAATAACTGCTCAAACAAACTTAAAAAAAAATTTTAAACCAATTTATTATATAAAGAATTTATTTTCTATACAGATAGATTAGTGACTAACATTAGAACTGAACAAAGCTTAATAGATATTAGATGAATTTAAGTTAAAAATAACAACTAAGTTCTTTACAAACTCTTTATTAAAATTTATCTCTGGTCATCAGCTTATAAGGCAAAACTTTTTTTGATTTTATTAATAATTTTAATTGTATCTTATAATGCAACACTTCAAATTTATAATCTGTTATCTTTAAATTTTATAAATTTCTACTCAACTTAACAACTCTAATAAACTCTTTAAATTTAATACATAGTCTTTATGGCATACTTTTTTTTAATATTATTAAATCTTTTAATCTAAATATTAACTTTCACAAAGTTTAAGCTTATACAAATAATATCTTTAATAATATAGATAACTTTTTAGCAAAATAATATATCTTTTCTTGTCTCTAAACTTCAAATATACAACATTTATAATCTTTTTTATATTTTACAATAGGAACAAAATTCTGTTAAGCTTTTTATTAGACATTTTATTAAAAATATCTACAAAGTACACATATTAACAATATGGTCTTTATAAAAATATAATGAATAAGCTCATATTAATTACTATATAGTTTGACAATCAATATAGCTATATATTAATAACTATCAAAAACCTATATCTAAATTTATTAGCTTTAAACTTAACTAATCCAAAGCCTTCAAAATCAAAGCTTTATTAAATCAACTATCAATATATTTTTTACTTTAATATTTACCCAACTATTTTAATAAATACTAATTGCTTTTGATGCAATTTTTTTGGCTTTCATTTATATTAACTAACTTGCTCTAATTTATCTTTTATTACAAATATTATTAATTCATCAATTCAGTATATTCTATCTAAAGCAGACCTTAACTTATCTACTAGTTATATATATAAACTTATTCACAAAATTTAAAATTACTCTTTATTTGATTAAATACTATTTCAAACCAACTCTTTTTATCTTAAACTTATTCTTAAAGGTCTTATATCTAAAGTCTTAATTGAAACAATTCACAATTACAATATATTTACTAAAATAGTCTTACAAACTGTTATTTAAATACTTTTTGACATTAATAACCAAATTTATAACTAAATATAAAAACTCTATTGCATTGACTTTTTTTTTAAATATTAAGGTGAGTACTTGCAATCTAGGATTTTATTGATAGTACATTTAACTAATAATAACATTACAACCACAGAAGGCAACTAGAGAAAGAGTATATAACTAGTCATTCATACAACTTTAGTTATTGTCTAATCTAAATAATCTACCAAAGATTCTACACTAGCTATCATATTTAAACCTACTTGTAATTTTTCTATTTAAACACTCTAGTTTCTATATCTATTCATCTATCTACATCTATTAAGATGCTCTAATCAATACTAATACAAATATACTATAGTTACTAAGTATTTAAAGTAGATTACTCATATGAGGAACCTTTGATCTTATACTAAATCTTCTAGAATCTTCCATATCCTATTCTTACAACTGACCTAGTATTGCTATAGCCAATATTAAAAATTGCAGTCAGAGTGTATTATTAAACTGTTATGTTCTTGTAAAGTTTAGCAAACACCAATACTAACTTTACAACTAATTTCTACTACTTTGGTATTCAATTCAAGTTCTACCAAGCTATTATTTCAGATAGCTTAAAAAACTAGATTATATCTATACCTCTGGTTTACATGTTCTCTAACATGTACTCTTTTTTTAAAAAATCTGAAAATTCTAACAATCTGGTTGGTTCATTCAGTTTCTTTTTAAAGACTTGCATATTTGTTCAGTTTTATGAGTTTTAGCTCTGTTTCATAGGTCTAGTTTTTACAGTAGTACTATTGAAAGTTCAGATTATCTGTCTTCCAAGTAAGCTTCTATCTTTCTACTTGGCTTTATAATTTATATAGCTTAAGGACTTATCATAGATTTACACTACCCAGTACTAGTTTGTATTCTTTTATACAATATGTATTATTAAAGACAAATCTGACTATAGAACTATAAGAAATAGAACATGTAACAATCCTAAAACACTCTATGAAAACTGTTATAATATAATACCTATGACTCAAGAAAAATCAAGTTCTTTATTAGTGACTGTGCTGATTCATTGAAAAAAAATCACCTACCTGATTTGAAATCTAACTGTCAAGATAATATTACCTTGACAGGTAAAGTCTATAACTGTGTCAATGTATTATTATATGTTGAGTTGTGTACTATCATGAAAGTATTAAAAGTACAATGAAAAATGCTAAAGTAATAACAGATAAATTGTAGAAAAAAAAGAAGATTGTTAGTAAAAAAGGAAAAAACAGTCTATAATAATAAGAAAAAGGGTGTTAAAACATGTCCCAAGTTCTCTTCTTTACTCTTGAGAATTCTTTATAAAAATAGACCTTCTTTATCTTATACTAAAAAAAAATAATTATCTCTTTAAGAATAGTTCTGTTTTCTTGTAACCTGAATTATCTTTAACTTGTAACCTACCTTATAAATAAATAAAAATATTAATTAATAAAGTTCTAGTTGTTAATTTTAAATAAAACAATTAAATTAAAAACCTACACTCCTTTTAACTATTTCTGGTAACATTTTCAAGGGCATCTTAGACCAATGCCAAATCAAATCTATCTCATTTGCCTTGAGTGACATTACGCAATATCAATAAATTCAAAGCAACAATTTGTCATATTCCTTTTTGTCCCTATAGTGCTGTTCTTAGCTCTGTTGCTCATATCAATATGAATGTCTTGATCTTCTAGTTATGCTGGTATAATACAGGTTATAGGTATTTAATTCCAACTAATTATAAAAGACAGTTAATTATAACATAGAAATAATTGCAAATTTTCACTGTTACTGAGATTTGAACTTATGATCTACTACTTGGAGGTTAACAATCTAACTACTTCAATAGGTTACCACACCTCTTCTATTATATTAACTTTTTTAACTAAAAAAAATATTATTATTACATCTTTTCAAAGCTCTAACAATTATAATATCTCTTAACAAATATAATAAACCAGACATCACAAGAGATTATATATAAACTATATATACTTATATTTATGTAAAATAGAAGATCAATTATATTTGCATCCTAATATCTGTCTATCAATTGAATAAGCTATTAGAAAAATCAATATATGATTAATATTCTGAATTAATTATAGCACATCTTATAACCACATTCTATAATTACAAATCTAAATAGGTCTTGACTATCTTAGTAGATTTAAGTTACAGATAAAACTGTCTGAGCTTTAATTCTTGCATATAATTTTTATTTTGTAATTTATAATCTTAGTATATTTTAATATATAGTATATTAATATGTACAACTAATAAAGATATAAGTAAGACCTTATCTTAACATTAAAAAAAATTAATAATAAATATTAATATACTTTTATTAGATGCTAAATTGCATGAATAACAGTTTAAACAGTTACAAAAACAACAATTAAAATATAAAAAAAAGAAGCATATAATTAGTATGAATATATAAATCTTGTAATATATATGTGATAATTTTTAGAAAAAAATAAAGAATTTAAATTGCTCTATAGTTTTGAAAATGATACTTCTTTATTATAGTGAACAACTACTTATGTCAAATCAAAATTAATTAGAAAGCTTGCAATTAAAATATTTTTAACTATTTCTTATTCTGCTGATTGTGAAAGAACATTCTCATCATTAGGTTGATTATATAGAAAATGACAACAAAGTTTTCTCTTTCCCAAATTCAACTATAGTACAAGTTCAGTTCTTTTGTATTTCAAATATAAAAAAAAAACTGTTATTTTAGTAATACATTATTACCTGATGACTTATAAGAACAAGTAAAGTTTACAACATTTTTGACTAAAGATAATAAAATAGTAAAAGATTCTGAAATAGAAGAAGAAGAGACTGAGTATAATTTAGATATTATCGAATGTTTTGATCATGATAATATTGTGTTTTTAAATGATGAAAATATTCAAGATAATGAGTTAGATGAAAAATCACAAATTGGTAAGTTCGATAAAATCGAACATGATGAATTAACAACTAGTAATGAAATAGAATGTAATGTTTTTTTGAATTTGATTCTATGGAATTAGCAGCAGATTTAGTAAGAGGGTGGGGTCATAAAGGTTATAAAGATATTAATGATAGATTAAATAGTGTAGCAGATGAAGTAAGTGAAAATATTAATGAAAATTTAAATAACACATAGTGTTTTAGAATCTTTACCTATAGCACTTCGTAAAACATGTCGTCAAAATTTAAATGAGTAAAAAATAAAATTTTTAATAAATAAATTTCGTTGTTTTATAATTATAATGGCTTTGACAATAGTTTCGTTAATCGTCAACAGTTTTAGCAGTTTTCAAGTTTCGTCAGATGAAACCATTGATGAAACCATTTCGGCAAAGCAAATTAGTTTCGTCAGGCATCATTAATATACTGTCAATATGCATAAAAAGTTTAATCAATAGTATCCAATTAGGCAGTATTGACTGTATAATAGAACTGAACACAAAGATCAAATATACTAGACAAAATGTCAAAATCCTCTAAAACATAACTTTAATCAAAACTTGGATTTTATAACTGATTTTTGTCTTTAAAACTGTATTTTAACCCTATATATAGAGAGATGATCTCTAGTTATTTGTATTAAAATTCATTAAATAAAATTTGATGGTATTAAAACTCAAACTAATATAATAAAAACTAAATTTTATATCCAAAACAATATTAGATTTAAAAATTAATATATTAAAAATTATAAAAACTAAACCTAAAAAATTGAAAACTATAAAAACTTTAATAACTAATATAAAAAAAAATTAAAAACTCATACTCGGAAAAACATTTGCGCCTAAAAGCTAGTTTATATATTAAAAGTTACTGAGTATGTTTCTCAAGAACTTATTATAAATTTAATAATAATTTTTTTATTGCCTTCTTTTTAATTTATTTCTTACTCAATTATTTTTTCCATCAATGTCAAAGGTCTCTTCATTAAAGTCTTTAGGCAAATAGTTTAAAAATTTTCTGACGGCTCTATTAAAACTCGTTTCCTCACTTTTTATCGATTTTGGGGACATATATTTTAAATATTTTCCATAGCTTGCTGAGGACCACATATGATAGGCGTAATTGTTAGAAAAATTATAGTTGGTTGAATTGAAAGCCAAATCCAGATGCTCGTCCATCCAAGTCGGCCAAAAAAATGCAGTTTTGTTTAAAACCTGAATATCATTGACATATTCTTGTGACATTTGGTAAGGCAGCTGAACTGAATGGTAGTTCCAGTGGTGATCGTTAAAATCCTTGTAGTTTTGTATCCATCTGGTTAGAAAAGGAGCAAATGGTCTGCTGATGATTACCGCATCACAAAGACCTTGCCCCCAAGTATCCTCAATGCCCATAGTAAAATCATTATAGAGAAGGTCATCGAACGGCTGAAGGACAATAATATCATTATCGAGATAAATGCCACCAAAGTCCCGTAACACTTCCATCCGTATAATATCTGACTTGTGTTGAATAACATTCACAGGGTTCCCAAAAATCTCTGTCACTATTCGTGTTTTCATGATACTTAATTTAGGCTTTATGAGTTGATACCAGTAGCTCTTTGGTTCGTGAATATAGTGAAAATAGGTTTTTTCTGGCTTAATAGTCTCGATCGAAGAAGTAAAAGCAAGCCAATGGATAAAATTAAAGGGCAAATAGTTTGGATCTTCATTAAGATATACATAATGTAATATTTTTGGTACTTTTTGAGTTCGATTCGGTACTGTACAATTACAGTTGCAGTTGCCTATACCTGGTAATAATGCATGTTGGAGAACGTTAATTTTATAATGTCTTGAATCACTTTTAGTCTACCCTGAAACCCCGATAAGTAAGATATTTCGTAATTTTGCGATTCGGTTAAGAAAATTTTAGCGATCAACGATTTGTCAAATATAAAGTTTTTTTTTTTAAAAAAGATGGTTAAATTATATTCTTTGGCGCTACAGATAGTAATAAATGTTGGTAATTATTTTGAAAGTGAATCATAAGTTTTTATTTAATTTATTTATATATTTCTTTGGTAAATTCTGGTGATAGTAATTTTTTTATTATTTACTGATTTTAAATATGCCAGGATTATTGTTTATCTGGTGGGTTTTTTAATGTTGGAGATTTCAGGGTAGTACTTTCACATTTACAATCTTTAAAGTTTTAATTTTAATACCTTCAGCTAAGAAATTTTCGTAATATGATTGCGAATCGTAGTGATAGTCTGGCTTAATGAAATTATTCACATAATATCCTACCGTGAACAAGATAACTCCTAGCGTAAAAGGAATAAGCCAAATTTTTGTATTAGTTTGTAAAAAAGTCATCGTATCAGATTGTTTATAGTAAATTAGAGCATTAATTTTAAGCAGAAATTCGGAATAATATGCAAATCTTTAAGAACAAGAAAGAAATTTTTATAATTTCATATCAATAGATATGTCAAATAAGTAGATTTTGGTCTGTTTTTACAGAAAATATAATGATCCTATTCAATAAGCGAAGCGGATGCTGTGTAATTTATAGCAATAACAAATTTATTTAAATTTATTTTGACATGTACGAAGTATATGACAGTTACATAGGCACAATATTGACATTAAATTGTACCAATTAGACACATCTAGTTCTTCATTACCAAACGTTGACTATTAATATTTTCTACATTATTAGTTGGATAAATATGTGATGCTTTTTATTGAATTTTTTCGTATAACCGTCATATACTTTCGGAGGCAACTGTACAAAAACAAATTATAAAGAACAAAATTTAGTTAGGACAGAATATTGACTTATTAGGAAGTCTTGAGTTTTAAATACCTACAAACTAAGTGAGTCAAGAACTTTGTTTTTAAAATTGAATAGTACCAAATAGAGGTATGCATTTCACAAGATAAACCTAGCTGCATTTCACATATCACGCGAGGAGTCTATTCACAAATTCTGCGATCTCGTCGGATGTATGTATAGTTGGTGGTAGAATTACTGAATTACGGCATTCTATCATATGGTAAAATCGACCAAAATCTGGGTCGGTATACATCGGAACGTTTTGGTATTACTTAATACATCATGTTTCTGATCCAGGCTTTTAGTCGATACAGTATGCTTAATTTTGTATCATTACGGCAATTACGGCACGTGCCGTAATTCAAAATTAATTCTACCACCAACAATAGATGTATGCAGTAATTGCACCGATAAGTTGTGTACTTTTGTTTTATATATGCATGTCGTACGTTGTGAGCCGTGAAACGTGATCCCGGAAGCACGTGAAAGGAGGTGATCGATGTGGCGCAGTAACAGTTAACGGCTATGTCGATCACCTACCTAATATGGGCTTCCCGGGATTATCGCTCCTAAAAGTCGTATAGGGCTATTAGCAAATACAAAGGTAATAGTGGCAATAAGGGTTTTAAGAGAAAACTGTAATTAATGGGATATAATAAGGGACGTTAAAGGGATATAAGTATACTTGTTGGCAAAATCCCAAACTATTATAAAATTAGTTTGTCCGTGCCCAAATCCCAAACTCTGGCCAAATTCATATCTCAAAAATTTAATTAATAATCCTTATTCAAACTAATATCAGATATTCTTATAGTTATATATAATATATTAGCAAAATTTCAATACTATTTTTTTGATTCAATTTTTTATAAATAGCAATTGTTTTTTTGAATTTGTTCAGGTTTTGCCATTTTGCCAGCAAGTATAGATATAAGAAGGATAATACGTTTAATAAGATTAATACATTTAGTACCTTAAAGAACGCATATGTGATATAACAATATGTAATAAAGGCTTTGAGCCCTACAAGAGAAGTTCAGTTAGTGCTTGTAATAAACTTTGATCCTAATACTTTCCTGCTTTTGTTACAAACTAAAACTATGATCATAAACACATCACTTTCCAAATCTAACTGCCTCTTATCTACTAAGCCATTCATAGGTTACATGATATATTCCATTGAGAAGCGACAGACTATCTGTTTCGCTCATGTCAACGTGCATACGTATCCAACTTAAAACTTTACTTTTTTTATATTTTTTATTACACTTTTGGCTATTGTTATCTGGCTAAGTCATGTGACATATTACATGACTAACCAAATAAAAATGACCCAGTTAGAAAAGTCAGAATCAGAAAGGACTGAAACATAAAAGGGTGAAATAAGTGAGGTAGTCAGTAAGAGATGGAACACAAATATAATCTTAATCATTATAATACACAAGTAATAGATAAAGTTATTATTTTTTTTAGTTTTTTTTTAGTTTTTTTTAGTTTCAAGAGTGATCTTGCCTGTGTGTCATTTTATTATTAGTAATATAAGATTATATATTATATACAGAGTATATTAATGAAAGTACAACTAGTTATACATATAACTTTAGTCATTATCTAATTAAGAGTTTTGTTCATAGGTTATCTACTAGATGTTATATCTGAGACCTGCCTGTGAATTTCCTATTTAAACTTTTTGATTTTTAATACTTAGTGCATATATATACAATATATACTACTATTATTATGACAGAACAGATTAAGACTATTTAATTACTATTTATATTTAAGTATCATCTTATTGGATGTTACTAAGTATCCATAGTCCTTTGAATTTATTCTTAACACAAACTTATTAAGTATGGTACCAAGATTATCCTTTAGATTTTATTTATTTTAGTGTATTCTGTATTTACTAAACTGGTTTAATGTTAGAAGTATTTGAATTTTAATAAGTTCATTCTTTTCTTATAGTTTTCTTTTATGTTTACCATATTACCTACTAGTGTGACTTTTTTCTATTTCTGATATATTTATTACTTTTCTTATATTGAACATCAATTCTCTATATTGAAAAACTTTTTTCTAAGAACTTCCTTATATACTAATCTTCTATTTACATGAACTTAAAGGTAGAAGGTAGCATTTTAAAATTATATATAAACCCAATAGTAATTTTTTTTTATATTTAAATTTATAAAATATTCTATTAAGTAAACTAATTTTAATCATTAAGTAAATTTATAAAATAAGTCTTTTGGATTCTAATAATAATAAAATTATTAAAATAGATTAAAAACTTATTGAAATATAAATTTTTAAAGATTAGTATATAAAATTATAAAATAAAATTAACTAATCAAATTCTTTATTTTTGTAATATTTAATAAAATCTTAATTCATCTAAGTAAACCTTTTATATATGCAAGTATATTTTTTTAAAATAATACAATACATCAAAATTTTATTATAATAGATAAATAATTTTATTTATAATATTATAAAATTTTTTTATTAATTAATTAAAAAATAAAAAAGTTTATTAGTAGCATATATCAATTTTAGATGAAAATTTTAATATTTTATATATAACTATATAAAAATAATCTATGTGCCTCTTACCTTTAAGCCACAGAGCTTCACATATATTCATATGCTTCTATAGATTACAAAGTTTTGTTTCTAGCTGAAATTAAACTGTTAACCTTGTATATAGAGTGAGAGTTGCCTAAATTACTAGGCTACAGAACTCTATTCCTATAGATCAAGTTAATATAGAACAGAAAATGTATAAAGTGCTCTTATAAATAAAGACCAAAAAGACTCTAAGTAAAAAACAACTTATTTTTGGCTTTACTAAATAATAACTAGCTCTTATATAATAATAAATACATAAATGTCTTCTTTGTTATATTAATAATCATTAAACTTCAAATTATAAAAACCTACTTTTTGCAACTATATGTTCTAATCTGTAATATTGTTATATCTTATCTAGTTGTTATATCCTAAAGTATCAGATTAACCATAGTTACTCAAGTTCAACTATCTGAAGAAATGTGATAGTTGTATTGTTTAATTACTCAAAAAAGTAAGATAATTGAGAATAGAGTTAGTAGAAAGCTAAGAAAAAAAAACTCAAGACAAGTAAAGAAACACTTATCTACAGTTTCAAACTATTAACTGAATTTAAATATCTTTTTTTGACTAAACCAATTATAGATTACATGAAATTTTGGATTGTGGAGTAATTAACTCATTGTTTTGACTAATTTTACTAGTGTACTGATCAGTAAGCCATATTAGTAACAAATAATATAAAGAAAAAGATATATAAGCAATACTTCTTTTGTACTAAAGAAATAACAAAAAAGGATATAAGTCTAATTACAAATATAATAGAAATAATATCCTTAATGTTCTTTGTAGAATCATCCCAATTAGTGTTTGAAATCTGAGACAAATCAGTATTTTTATATTATATTTAGTATTTTTAGAATTAATTTTTGGGCATTCTCTAATATAAAAAATTTTAAAGTTTCATCTTTTAGCTGTTCTAAAAACAATAATTTCAAACACTGGTCCCAATTATTGCTATAACTAGTTATGATATTAGCTTTGATTAGTTATAGTTTAAGCTAAAACAATTTTATGATTATATTAAAATCAGCTTTGTAAAAATTATTTGCTATAGTTAAATATAGTAAAATTAAATCCTAAAGTTAAATCTGATTAAACTGGAATTTACTTTTATTTACTTACAACTAAACTATTAAGCTTAAATATAAAAAACTATATAATTATATAAAAACTTTATTAAATTATTTACTTGTTATCTGAAGAGTAATGTAATATAGATTACATATAAATTTATATATAAATTATATATAAAATCTTCAAATAATAATTATAAAATATATATTATAAAAGTTTTTTTTTAATAAATAAATTTTAGAAAGATATTTTAAAAAAAATTTAAGTAGCCTTACCAATCATATTTTTTAAATTCTATTACTATTTTTTTTTTTGTATTCAGTTCTATTTATTTATGCTTATATCTTTTTTTTTATATATAATATTTTGTTTATAGTTCTATTTTTTGTTATATTTTTTTACTTTTTAATCTATAGTATTAATTTTGTTTCTTTTTCTTAGTTGACAATTATTTTTTTATATATTCTCAAGAAAACTATTCTAAACTGTATTAATTCAAGTTATTATAAATTCTTTAGTTTTTTTAAATATTTAAATAAGATTTTACAACATAGTTTTGGTTTTTTTATATATTAATCTTTTAATAATCTTAACTCTGCATTTTAATTTTTCTTCTACTAAAAATTCTTTTAAGTTCTTTTTTATTTATTATAAATTTTTTAAAAAACTTATATTTTCTATATTAGTCTATCTTTTTTTATAGTTTTTATATATTGTCAAATTATCTTGATTCTTGTTTTTACTTTTATTGTACAAAATATATAGTATAAATTTAAAGATGCTTCATTAAAATTTTAATATTAATAACTTTTTATTTTATACTTAATTA